AACCATCTCAAAACAAGAAAAACATTAAAGCATTTAATACTAAAAGACTAAGGACTCCAAAGAGAATGAAGCTATTGTCTTCATAGGTTTAGAGTGAGAGAGGAAAACAAAAATGTATGTACTCTGCATCTGCTATCTCATGAAACTGTAATTAGTTACTAAATTCACATCTACTACTAATGCTATGACTCAGTGTCCAATCCTTAGTCCTCAAAGATAACACAACAAGGTAATACATCCATTATTCTACCTTCCTAAATTAAGGTGTGTAGACGATCTCCCAAGGTCTAAAGTCAAATGCAAATTTGCATGGATGAGATGATTTTGTAAAAGTGAGATTTTTTACAGAACTGTAATAATTAAAATTTTATGGATTTAGAATTCATTCAATCAACCATTAAATAAGAATTTATTAAAACCCTTATGAGATACAAGGCTTATGTGCTATATGGGGGAATGAAGAAAACTTCTCTCAAAGAAGCTTCAAAAATTTAGGGTTAATATAATCATTTTAATGATCCCAAATATCTTCTTTAATCTTTAGGTAGAAAATGGCATCCATTTTTCAAAAATTATTAAAGATAAATTATATATTCAATCAATAAGAGGGTGGCTATATTTTACTTTACTTACTCATAAACAGTCTAGCCTAAAATTATATAAACAGAATTATATGTGAGAAGCAATTAGGAAGTCACATTAAACCCAAATACTATTTACCTGAATTCCAATTCAAAATACAATTCAGTGTTTTTATTTTTTAAAGTAGAGATAGACCAAGTAAAAAAAAAAACACATTATACACCTTTATTCAAACCAATTGCTGTGCATTATCTGAAAATTTCCAAGTCTTGGAATAGAATTACGGATGAGAATTTTTTTTTAATTTAAGTTCAAGGTCATGATAGTTTCAATTCCTGATTCCCAATGTGAATCTGAACAAAAGGACATCCATAAAATGTTGTGACTATCTTTCATTGCAACCCAGACAAAAGGTGGGTGCATTTCCATAACTCCTGGTTTGATATAACTAGACAGAGGATATATTTTTTTCCAAATTCATCTAAATTTTATTCTGCGATTTACTTAGAAAAAAATCCACACTCAAATTGTTGTATGTGAATCTATAACATGGTCAGGCCACTAGAAGGGATGCAGGTAGAATCTGGTGCATTTACTTGTCACAGGGTGATTCAGGAAACCCAAAGAAGAATCACCTCATTTAGCTTCCAATACAACAATGATATTCTACGCAGAATTAACCTATCTTCAATTTCACATCTACGTGACTTCCCTCACTCTGTAAAAAATTAGGACTCTTCTACATTTACACATCTGGCAAATTCTTCAGTATTCTGGGAAAGAATAAGCATAATCTCACGTGTCAAAATGTTCTGCCTTAACAAGAGGTTGGAAAAGATATACAGGGAAAGAAACTTTAAAAAATGCATGATTATTGGCAATTATTATAGAAACATACAAAAGAGATACAAATATTGTTCTCTTTTCCACTTCTCAAAGCTTCTTTAGATGAACAAATCATAAACAGATCACGTGTTCTGCATCATAAGTGAAATACTGCATTAAAGTGTGTTAAGCAATCTAGTAGATTTTTGTATTCTGGACCCGAAACAAACAGGCAGTTCTAGAACAAAAATTCTTTCCACTAATAAAAATAATGCCCTAAGGCTAAAACCGTAAGATTTTAAGCAAAATCTTGTTAACAGCTCTTTATAACATTAATAAAGTTCAAGGTCATGTTTACTGAAAAATTTTGGCAAGCCAAACTTGCACAATTAAAATAAATACAGTGTCACGTGGTCTGTTCTCCCAAAGCCTAGAATTTTGACCTTGACTGAGGTATTCCCAATTCTAATGCTATAAATAACTTCTTTAGCTGAACAAAAAAATTAAACTATTAATTCTCACAGAATGTGGTTGTGCCTTTTCAATGTGTACATCCCATGAAAATATTTAGCATGGGTTTATTTGTTTGACAAATATTTATTGTGTGTCTACCAGGGCTAAGCCCCATAACAGGCAATGAAGACAAGAAGGTGTTCAAGATCAACACAATGCCTCTTAAAGGGCTAAGACAAACAGAGAAGACAGACAACTAATAAATAATTGTAAAAAGTCACCATCTAGGAGTATAGGAAAATAAGGGGTATTTTAACAAATCTATAGAGTCAGGGAAGGCCTTCTGGAGGAAGTTCAGAGGCAGTGTCTTTAAAACAAAAATCTTCAAGGCTATGGTAACAAAACTGTATGTCTGTAGATTACTGCCGTTCATTCCCATCAGTTAAATTATTCTCATAACATGTACGGGTTAATTTATATGCTAGGCTTATGTTCAGTATAATATGCTGCTTTAAAGAGGCTTTATAAACCAAAGGTTCTTAGCTATAGTTTTAACCATCAAAAAGAATCATTTCTACCACTTCAGGAAAATCAAATAAGCATAATAAATGAAGTGGCAACAAAGGTTTAAAATATGTCTGAAAAATGTCAGATTGATCTCAGGAGTTTCTTTCAACCTCTTCCTCCCCAACCACATTAAAATCACAATAAAGGTATATATATATAAAAAAAGGTGTAAACATACAAGAACTAAGAAAGAAAAAAGGAGACTAAAATATTTAAGAGAATTCATTAAATTTTCATAAAATTGGAGAAATGGAAGAGTGATAATTGATCTAGGGGAGCAGAGGCACTACCTGGGTACTGTAAAGAGACCAAATGAAAGTAAGCTGATTTATGGTACAGACCCCAGAAAGGATAAGGCCTTGGGAACACAAGGAGCTGTGGAGGCAGAGTAAGTGGTGGGGCTGAAAACAGAGGATTAGATACAACAGTACATGACTGGATACTCCCCCAGCACATATGCTCTCACACATCTGTGCACAAGCTCTTGCATCCAGAAGATTACTGCTCCTCCCACTTCTCCTATTCTTGGGAAAGCTCAATGACATCAGAGAAAAAGACTTAAAAAATACTGACATTTGGATGCCAGTCTAATGAAAAACCCAGATCATTAAATGAAAAGCCATGCTCGTGTATAAAGAGCTTCTGAGTGGCTCTCAAATATAGATAGGCAACAATCACAGATATGTAAGGAAAACCTCCAAAATGAAAGTGAGAGCTTAGAAAATCAAACAAGAATAAAAAAGAACCTGGAGAAAACAACACAATGCATGGAGCAGAAGACAAAAAACAAAACAAAACTATAATTAATATCCTCATAGTAAAAAGAGAAATATAGCAGCCATGAAACAAAACAGAACACTGTAACACATGAACATCAGAGAATACAAAATAGTTATTTGAATCAAAAAGTTTGGATAGGTGAAATAAGACATTCAATAGCAAGGTTGGAAGATGACGTCAAGGATATCTCCCATAAAAACAAACAAAAAGATTAAAAAGTTGGAATATAAGAAAGATTAGAATTACAATTGAATTAGGATCTGTCAGGAGCTTCCAGAAAAAGAAACCAGAGAAAATGGAGAAGAGGAAATTGTCAAAGAAATAATACAAGAAAAGTATACGGTACTTTCCAACATGAATTTCATTTCCATATTGAAAGGGCCCTCAAGTACCTATTATGATAAACGAAAAAATGCCCACACCAAAGATCATTATTGTGAAACTGTCAAACACCAGGGCCAAAGAGAAGAATATAAAAGTTTTCAGAGGGGGAAAAAAGGTCAAATACAAAAGAAATAACAATCAGAATGTACAACTGGAGACTTGGGAAGGGTAAGACAGAGGACTTTAGTATTATTCGACTTCTAAAACAACGTACAGGAATTTTTATAAACACTAAGCAATAATAATGTATGGAAATAAATAATAGATAATAAGTAAATGAATAAGATAAAAAATAAATTTATTGAATACTCACTACATGCTAGGGGTACCATTCTAACTGTTTTAAATGTATTAACTGAATTAACTCTCCTAACTCTAGAGGAAGACAGTTAAAAACAGAACAGCTGCTTCTTTTCTAAATTATTGTCATCTAAGCCCTTCACACTCTTCCAGTCTTACAAAGAAAATTTTCCTAGATGATTTTTCCTAGTCATTCACATGACTACTTATTATATTTACTGATATGACCAAAACATCGTGCTCCTTTACTCCCACCTTACACACATATTTACCTTAAATATATTATCAACTACATAATGATACTTGCACATTTTCATTTGAGTTTCCCTGTAGGAGTTAGCTTCATTCAGTTTCCTACTTTTACTGTCCTATCCATCTTCTCACTTATTGATCCTACTTAAGAAATTCTGGCTTGGGGGTTAGGGGTGGGGGGTGGTAAGAGGAAATATACTCTTTTTAAAAAGAGTAGATTTTTTTCCTTTTCTAATCTGGTGACATCTTCATTCTTTCCGACCGATGATAAAGAGGCTACACAGTTTTGGCATTTCCTCTCTTGGGACTAATAAACTTCCATAAAATAATGTAGTGGCTTTTGAGACCTCAGACCACTGCTTCAAAACTCATCTTACTGCCCCGGAACTCCTGGATCATTTGCTGTTGCCCGGCCCAGAGTGGGAGTTCCTTTCTCTCAAATATGCAGCCTTCCTCTTTCTGCCTGTCATGCCCTTGACTTCTTCTGAGTCGGTTTTTTGTTTTGTCTTGGTTTGTGTCGGTTTGGGGTTTCGGTGGATAGGTGTTAGCTGCAGCAACCTTTAAGGTCCTGATGCATCAATGCCAGCATCCTCTATGTCTTCCCAACACCTGGGTGAACAGACCCAGCGCTGCCTGGCCTAGAAGGTCTTGGTCTCGTTCACAGAACGTCCCCATCCGCGGCCGTAGAGCTCACATACGGCAACCTCCAGTGTCGGGTGTCACGGGGCCCAGTGCCAGGCGCACCCCGCCCGGCTGTCACACCGTCCCTCCCGGCGCTCAGGCGGCACACCTGGCGGCCCTACCCGCGGGCGTCACCTGCGGGCCGGCCCGGCGCGCGCACGCGCTCACACACCTACCGTCTCCTTGGCAGCCGCGACGGGGATGGGAAGCAGCCCCCGGCCGCGCGGCGGCTCCTCGGGCTCTGCGGCCGCGCTCTCCGAGGGGTGCCCGGGGGCCGGCCCCCGCGCGGAGTCGGCCCTGGGGTCCCCATACAGCTGGTAGCACACGAGGCCGACCAGCCCCCCGCCGGCCGCCGCCGCGATGCTCAGCTCCCCCCAGCGCCGCCGCCGCCTCCAGGCTGCCTCCGCCACAGCCCCCTCCTCCTCCTCCCTGCAGGAGAAGGGCCGGCCAGGAGGGCCCGCGGCTGTCCCTGCAGGCCGCCCCCACGGCCCAGGGAACGGAGGGTGAGGGGAGGGCGGAGGCGGGAGCCGAGGCGGCGGCCACAGCAGCCTCCGCAGGGCGGCCATAGCGGGAGCTGCCGGCACCAGAGCTGAGAGGGGGCGATGAGGGGGTGGGGGATGGGGGGCGCCGAAGCCTCGCGAGAAGTCGGTGCGCGGAGGTTCGCTGTTGTCCGAGAGCGACCCCTGCACACGCGCGGCGTGGGGTACCCTCCAGGCCCCCTTCAGCTGGGGAGACCGGGGATCTCGGGCTAAGGAGAGCCCGGGGGAGAGGGCGGGCCCGGCTGCTCCTCGGCCGCGCACTCCCAGCCCAACCCCGCAGTCATAAATAACTGCGCCTGCCCCCGGCGGCACCTGACTGCGCGAGAAGCCAACACCGCAGGCGACAGCCAGGTCACCGAGCTCAGACGAGCCCTCGTGTGCGGGGGTGGCGCGGAGCGCCCGGGCGCCCTCCGCTGACTTTGCCCTTCGCCTCTGCTTTGCTGCGGGGGGAGGGGGGGTGTAGCGGATCCTTAGTAGCCCCCTTCTAAGTAAGTCACGTCCCCTATCGGTATCCTGACCTTCCGACACCAGGTCGTGAATCGTTTGCAATTGTATCTTCAGGTGTACAACAAAAATGAGGTATAAAAATTTGTCCCAAGTCATAAAGATGGCAAATTAAGTCAAAGGATGTTTGGACTACACAGTGACCGCTTCTGGACTTTTGATGGGGGAAGGCTAATGCTGGTTTTTAGTTACCGTTAATATTTTTAAAAAACATTACCATACTTGCGGTTACTTCAACACAGCCGAACTGTCTTGAAAGATACCCTTACTTTGGGGAGAAAGTTGTTGGTATAAATATGAAATAAAGAATTGATAAGTGTATAGCGTCGTCTTATTTTTGTTATTGCTATACTTGTTAGTTTGCTACACTGTCAGTGTCGCTTTTAGGAGTATATACGTATGACATTCGTTTCCCACCCCTGACCCCAGTTTTGCTTACCTGAGTTAGGCTAGCTTTGGTCTCTATACTCTGGAATAGTGCCAGGAGCCCCTAAAACATTCTGGGTCTAGGAGTGTAGACAACTAAATCCAGTAGTCTTACTTGAGCTGCAGGAATTGGATCAGTTGATTTTGGCAATTCTTATGAAGACTAAGAGCTTTCAGAGGCAAACAAAATGAGGTTTTTTGGCCCAGATCCAGGTATTCCCATTCCTCACTAACTTCTTGCCTACAAGTAATCGATCAGATACACTTCAGTAACATTGTTTTTATATAGGTTAATGGAATTTTCCTTTCTTAAAGCCACTAAAAGTGGTAAACAGAAAAACCGTCTATAACATGTGAACAAAATGTGTCTATTTTAAGATGCCATCTGAATTTCTTTCACTTTCAGCCTTTTGGTTATCTAAATAACCAATGCCATAAGAAAGACTCAGTGGTAGCTCCTTGCTTTATCACCAAGGTTCCTTCAATTTCTGCCTTCCTTGAATTTTGGAAAATTTTAGTATTCCCAAAAAAGCATTTATTCTTTGGATATATAACACAATTCTTTTTCTGGCATTGTTTACTTCGAGCTGAACACGATTTCCAGATTTTCTCATAAATTTCCAATATGGCCTAATGGCAGAATTCTTGGACAGACTGATGAATTTTTATCAGCTGCATATTAAAAGCTGAGTAGCTCTAAAGAGAATTAGGGAGGTAATGCAATAACATATTACAGATAAGGAAAATGACAGCAATTCAGCATCTAAGATGACTTCAAATATGTATATAATTTCTCCATAGTTTTAAAAAACTTAATACAGCTCTTGCAAATCATTTCTCTGACTAGAAACCCAGTTCTGCTGTAAGAGGTACTGGGTTTAGGTTTGTCGAATACTCAGAAAGCTTTGGATAAAAGGTCTCTCTATGTGCAAAAGTTATTCTAATTATAACTTTCCTCAGTGCCTCCCTTCTAAAAGCCAAATTTCTTTAGGAATAGTTAGTGTTTTCTTCTCATATTTGATGCTCTGTAACTACAGCTACATAAAAATAACCAGATTCCTTTATTATCTGTATATTTTTCTGAATTTGATTCTCAAGGGGAAAAATTATAAGAAAGCATGATATTAGGAATTTGGAAACTTTTTTGAAACTACAGAAAATGTTGTTAGATCAGTATAGATTTAGCCCATTTCTTTCATCTTTTATATCAATTCTACTGAGCATTAATAATATTCAAAAAATGTCCCTACTACACAGAGAAAGCTCACGCTCTCAGAAAAATATCCACGTATGTTCACTATGGTCTAAGTAATAAGAAATGCACTGAAACGTTTTAAAAATCTTTGCAACAGTAAGGATTAAGCCAGAGAGTTTTCAGGAAAGCATACCTGTCAGTAGTTAGAGTGATAAACTAGAAAGAAAATGATTTGGACTCATGATTTTGCTGCATCTTAGTTGTATAACCTTATAATGCTTTGGAAGCCACAATTTCCTATAAAATAATGGAATTGAATAGGTGATTGCCTTCTGAACACATGATCCTAATTAACCAAAATGCTCCAAGGGTATCAATAAACCATATATAGATATTTCATAGCATTTTTCAATGTCATCTCCCTTCTCAAAACCCATAATTGCCCTACAATTGCTTTATTCTTTCCAATTAAAATTCTAGCCCTCCCATGACCTAATTATTTTAATCTTTTACTACTTTTTAAATTACAAATAAATGGGTGACTTCTAAATTTTGAAAATGTGAAATTTAAGTGTGGTACATGTTATGACTAGGCAGAAATGTCCTGTGTAACAAAACTTCTATTAAAATATGTTGCTTATCTTATTTTACTCTGAGCGCCAGAATTTTGACTAGTTGAAAGAGGAGCACTTATATCTGAGGCCCTACATCGGGGCACATGAGCCCCCACCCCCAGGTCTATTCAGTTCTGACAGAGGGAGGCCACCAGCCAAAGAGCATGGCTGCAGCAAGCCCCTTCTCTCTTGGGAAAGTTGTTGTAAACATTGTCCCCATCTTCAGTGCTGTCTTCCTTGGGGGATAATTGGCAAGATCAAAGGAAAAAGTGGTGGGGAAGATGTGTCCTGTGGGGTTGCAGCCTTTTCTTGTTCTTTTGTCTTCAGAGTGCTCACTACTAGAAGTCTGGAACTCAATTCCCCAGGATCCAGGGCTATGGAAACCAAGTTACCCAAGGCACTGGGGGTCTGTTTTCTATTTTGACTATCTCCCCCTCCCAAAGACAGATTGACGATGGTTTGCACCCTGCCTTTTTCCTTAGCCAAAGCAAAGCCATCTAAGCTCCATGAAGCCAGAGTGTGTATTAGCCCAGCTGCTGGCATGTAGCAGGACATCATTAAATGTTTATTAAATGTAGAAGGGAATGTATTATTGTTGGAAGGGAGAAGGCCAAGATGGGAAGGCAAATTAGGAGACAAGGAAATAAAGTAGCTCCTCAGATGCTAAAGGAGTTGATAAACTAAGCAATACATCTGGAAATGCCATTGATGCAAATGGAAGGCCAAAAGGAGAAAGCAACAGGTTAGCAAGGAAGATCAGAGACAGAGTGTGGTCATGGAGAAGGGTTGATTCAGGAACAAATTTTGTGACTTGAAGCTATCCTCTTACATGTTATAGTTTGGCATGATCCTGCTGGACTTACAACCTTAAAGCAATAAGCTTCCACCACGTTCTTTTGGTCCTTTGAGGAGTTCCAGCATGATCCATGGCCAAAGGTCAGTAACTTGACCTTGACACCTCCCTTTTTGTTCCTACAAGTCTCACTGATGACAACACCAAACTGCTAGTTGTACACATTCAACTATCTAACTTCAAGACCAGTAAAAATCTTACTTTGACCATTACTTCTGTCTAGTCTGATTTATATAATTTCTGATTTTATATAATTTCCAGGGCCTTTGCTGACAATGTCTCACTGTTCGATTTTTTGTTGTTATCTTTGTCCTCCATTTGGTGATAATCTTATGTATTTGCGAAACAATGAATAGCAGCTCAGACTTGCTAGTAGCAAAGCCTCCTGTCTGAAAACAAGCAAGCCCTGTCTCAATTGTTTTATCCTATTTTCATGCCTGATAGTAATGAAAGCTTCTATGCCCATCAAAAGCTGTCTTCTGGTAGAGAATAGCCTCAGAATAAAATAACCATCATTCATTATGCAAGCATGACACCTGGGTGGCAAAACAAATAATCTTTCTAAACCTATTGACAGTAACTACTGGAGTTTAACATATACATATCCTGTGACTCATCAATTTCACTCCTAGGTGAAATGCTCAGCAGAAATGAGTACTTAACGTGCACCAAAAGACATATAGAGAAATATTTGTAATTGGCCAAAAACTAGAAAGTATTTAAATGTCCATCAACAGTGGCCTGGAATTTTTTTTAAAAATGTGATATTTTCACACAATTGAATGCTATATAGCAATGAAAATAACTGAACTGCCACTATGTGCAATTATGTGGATGAATTTCACAAGCAGAAAGTTGAGTCAAAGAAGGCAGACACAAAAGAACACATGGTTATTGTTATTCTATTTATAGAACAGTATTATTCTATTTATAATATTATATACAGATGTGGTGTCAGAAATCATAATAGTGGTTTCCTTGGGTAGAGGATAGGGACTGGAAGGGGGAAAAGAGGGGTTCTGGAGTTCTGTTCATGTTCTGTTTCTTGATCTGGGTGCCAATTACACAAGTGTATTCACTCTGTGAAAATTCGTAGAACTGTCCACTTACAACTTGTGTATCCTTTTAATTTATGTTATACTTCAATAAAAAGTTTATATGAAATAAAAATTAGATTTTCTTCCTAATGCTCTTATTAAGAATGTGCTGTTTACTAGAGGACTTGCTCAGTTATGAATTGTACAACTTAGAAGGAATGTATAGTGCTTATAAAGAGCAAAAATTGATCGAAAAGTTGGAAACTAATGGAAAAGGAGATAATCTCTAAAGCCTAAAGAGCTTTAACCAAGGAGTAACTCAATGTAAGTCTTTTAGTACCTGAAAACCCCCAAGAAGATACTCATTAGCTGTTTTCCGTATTTATTAAGGCAAGACCAAAAG